TTTGGCTGCAAAACTTTAGGTGACTACCAAGACCTCTACGCAAAAACAGTCACGCTGTTACTGGCGGGTGTGTTTGAAAACTTTAGAAGGGTGTGTCAAACAAACTACGGTCTCAACCCAGGCAACTACTATACAGCGCCTGGTCTCTCTTGGGACGCTTTGCTGAAAGACAGCAAAATAGAGCTTGAGCTGCTAACGGACGTAGATAAGAACTTGTTTTGACTTGAGTCAAACGAGGTGGTATTTGAAGCGTCGGTAGCGCTCGTTCCTTTAAAGCAAACAATAAGTACTTGCCGGACTACAATCCAGACAAACCCGATTCTTACCTCTTGTATTTAGACGCCAACAACTTGTACGGTTGGCCGATGTCGCTACCGTTGGCGTACCGCAGATTTCGCTGGGTAAAAAATCCAGACAAATTTACCACCGAGCACGTGTTGTCGCTCTCCCCTACGGCAGACACCGGCTATCTACTCGAAGTGGACGTCGACTATCCTCAAGACTTACACGACTTACACAACGACTATCCTTTAGCCTCCGAAAACTTCATGATACCCAAGGATTGCTTTTCTGAGCATCAACGAGACAAAGAACCAACTGCTGCAGTCGATAAGCTCACTTGCACTTTAAACCCCGAAGAAAGATACCGGTACGTGGTGCACTATCTTCCTCTGTATTATACTTGCGTCTTGGACTCACGCTACATAAAGTACAACACGTCTTGACGTTTGAGCAAAAGCCTTGGATGAAATCTTACATCGATAAAACACCAAACTTCGAACGAAAGACACGTCAGACTTTGAGAAAGACTTTTTTAAACTCAACAAGTCGGTTTTGGGTAAAACGATGGAGAACGTGAGAGAGAGAGATGGAGAACGTGGAGAACAGAGTCAACGGTCATTTACTCCACGACGAAAAAGACGCTAACAAGTTCAAGCGTCTGATGTCACAACCCAGCAACAAACAATCGTGCCTTTCGCCAAGTGTCAACTGTCGTTTGCCGAAATGTATAGAATTAAAACCGTGTTGAATAAACCGATCTATTGTGGCTTAGTATTCTCGATCAGTCTAAAACGCTCATGTATGCGTTTTATTACAAGCAACTGAAACCTACAAGACCAAGAACGCTTGTTGTACACCGACACGGATTCTTTGCTGCGTTCGATACTGTGAGCAAAGACAGATTATGGAAGACCCTTTCAAACCTGGGATATCCACCGATGTTCCGCACGGTCATCCGGCAGCTGCATGAGGGCCAAAGAGGCCAAGTGAAACACAACGGCGCCCTCTCAGACAGCTTTCCCATCCCAAACGGTGTAAAGCAAGGGTGTGTGCTAGCACCCTCACTCTTCTCCATTTTCTTCAGCGTGATGCTGCGTGAAGCAAAGGAGGATCTTCATGACGGAATCTACGTTCGTTTCCGCTCTGGTGGCAGCCTCTTCAACCTCAGACGGCTGCTCGTTCACACCAAAACCGTGGAACAGCCTATCACAGAACTGTTGTTTGCTGATGATTGTGCGATACTCGCACACATAGACGCTGCGCTGCAACACCTTGTTGACCGCTTTTCTGAAGCCTCCAGGGCCTTTGGGCTGACTATCAGCTTGAAAAAGACTGAAGTTCTCTTCCAACTTCAACAATGAAAGCCTACACCCCTCCTCACATTGCCATTGGTGGCACGCCACTCAACTCTGCTGAATATTTCACATATCTTGGAAGTGTGATGCCCAATAAGGCAACCACTGATAAGGACCTTGACAACCGGCTATCAAAGGCCAGCAGTTCTCTTGGAAGACTCACCAAACTCATCAAAAATCATTCCCTACAGCTCACAAATAAAATCAAACTGTACAGAGCTGTTGTCATTCCCACTCCTATGCATGGTGCGGCAACCTGGACACTATACAGAAGACAACTGAGGCTTCTCGAACGCGTCCACCAGCGCTGCCTGCGGTCCATCCTAAACATAAAGTGGTAGGACTACGTATCCAACGAAGACGCTCTTGAGGAGGCTCAGCTCCCAGTATTGAGTCAATCCTGCTGAAACAGCAGTTGTGTTGGGCTGGGCATGTCGCGAGAATGGATGACTCTCGCATGCCACAAATTGTTCTCTTCGGTGAACTCAAGGCCGGGAAGAGAAACCGCGGCGCTCCAAAAAAGCGGTTTACAGACCGGCTGAAAAAGCAACTCGCCCTGGCAGGCATCCTGCAAAACCCATGGCAGGTTGTGGTGCAGGCAATCAACAATTCAGAATGCAAATTGTGAGTTCGAAACTTAGAGGAGCAAGGCTGTGACTAGAAATGTCATGGTTATTTCACGTTTCTTTTTATGGCTTGACGAAATAGTCTTCAAAAGAATTGGGAAAGCCAATAAGCTTTTTGTGAATTAAATTTGAATAACATTTGGTACACCGAGTTATCTGAGTTCACATAAACATAACAATTTGAATCCTCAGACTAAAGACACTGTTGCAATACCTCGTGATTCGTGGCAAGCCTTTATATAGCTACCACCATCCCTACAATGCATCCTCTGTGCACTTTTAAGAATAATAGACACTTTTCTGACTTGGGATACGTCATAGGAGTCGTTAAGAATGTACTTTTAACTGTACAGTTTACAGGACGGATCAAAATTAATTTAATAGGCACAGAAAGGCAGTTGTGACATTGCATTATTACAACGTTATAAACATATGAGAAACGCTCTATATTTGAGTTAACCATTTTAGATGTTTTACGGGTTGATGGTCTCTCTGAACTTTTAGATTTGACGCGCTAATAGTTTTTGTTGTGATACATTTCAAGTGAAACTTATTGCAATCGCACTTAATGTGCTTTTATTGTGTTGGTTTTTTCCACATACCCCTTCGATTTTATTTCAACACTTGTTAGCATTTTACTTATGTATATTTATACGTTAATTGTAACCTTTAAGTTGTATTTGTATTAGTGATTTTCTTTTTAAAATTCGCATTTAGCCTAATTTCTTTCGATTAAACCTCAGTTTTAACTCTCTGTTATTAACAATTTTCAAAATAACTGTATCGATAACTCGTGTGTAATGTGAAAGAACAGCTTGCTCGTTTAAAACCTCACATGATATTCCAAACGCAGATGTAAATAGCTAGCCACCGTTGGACAAATAACGGCTTTATCTCTCGTCTCAAAGCAGTAGCAATGACCTTTTGTTCTCTTGTACAATTTGGAGACACATGAAGCAAGATACGATACGGAGACTGCCCCCTTGCTTTGTGTTGGTCATTGTTTCACTGGGATCTGAGGAATTCTTTTCAGACATGGGGGGTGTTAGGTAACAATAGTTACAATAGGGTGTGCATAGCGATTGGAAAGGGGGGGGGGAGACCCCTCTGTCCCATTTCTTGCTGGATATATTTGGAGTGGAGGGAGGGACGTGAAGTTAAGTTGGACAAGCAAGTCAAAACGTGGAGATTCTTTGATGTGAATGGGCGTTCGCGTCCTCGTCCATTCGAATCAAAGAATCTCCACTTTTTCGTCGTTTCTTCGTAACCTCAACCACTGAAAACTATGTATTGGAGCTAGGTGTCTCTGACGTAACTATAAGCAAAAGCTTGCCCGAATCACGAGGTAAAGCAACAGTGTCTTCAGTACGGAGAGTTCAATATTTTATGTTTTCTTGAACTTGATGTACTAGATTTTAGTCAAATTTAATTAACTCGCAAAAGGTTTATTTACTCTTAGTCTGGTTCCGTGACCAAAAATTCCCGACGACTTTTAATAAAATCTTAGGACAGGTATCGGTCTCGGTCGACAACTGAAATACTTTGTGCGCAAGGAATGTATACAAGCAATGTGGACTGTACAGCTTGGACCATTAAAATCTGTTTAGCGAGATGAACCTGTTTACAATGGAAATACTAATTGAATTGTCTGGTTTAATTGCATCATTTGGTCAATATCCAACTTGGTATCCCAAATGTGTCCCAATGTAATAAAGATGCGTTATTGAATCTTGCTTTTCAAGATGTATTATTTTTTTCTTGCTTGACCAGTTCCATTAATGCCACACCTGCGAGTGAAATCGAAAAACTTAATCGTGTAACTAAAAATGCGTCACGCATAATGAAGTTAGTTAGACAATAGGCATACAATTTATAGTAAGAGAATGGGGAAGTGGGTTAAGATCATTATTCAGGATATGGGTCACCCAATTAATGCATTTTTAAAATTTGATGCCCCCAGGAAGAAGAATGAGATAAGTAGGTGCTAAAAGCAACAGTTTTTATACCATCGACCGTGCGGGTTCCGATAATGGGACTCTGGAAATTTTTAATAATGGGAATTTTAATGTATTATGTGGGTTCTTATAAGTGGATTTATAGGTGTGCATGTTAGTTGTAATTGTTAAGTAACTCTAAGTATATTTGTATGTATACATCTGTGATTTTAAAAGTAGGTGTATTTGTTAATTGTTTTTAAGCGAGTCCAAGATGAATTCAAAAATTGTTCTATGATCCTTGACTGAATAAATCATTCAATCTATCTAATCCTCTTACCTCTCACTATTTTAATAATAGGGAGTCACACACTCCACTTGCAGATTGGAAGTAACCTGAGGCAATGACATCCAAAATGCCTTTTTCCAGATCATTAACATAACAGAAAATATCAACCGTTTAGAGTAACATGTCAAGGAGCAGTGCTACGAATTCCAATGGGGTATAATTTTAATAAATCTCTCTCGTATTCTTCTTTACAATTTTTTAAAATTCAAGTTTTCGCCCGACACGATTTCAAGGAATGCAAAATTACTATAATTATAAATATTTTGCCTACCGAAACAAATTAAACGCTAATTATCTTAGCATGGATAGCTAGGCCTGGTTGTTATCAAATGACAGTGCGAAGTGAAGTCTGAAAAATTAACAACACGTAAAAACAAGCATCCCACTCGCTAAATTTGTGCAAGTCGAATTTCGATCACGAAATGCATACTCTCCTTGAGCGGAATGATGCTCTTCTTTGTTCGGATCCTGTTTCGTGGAGGCAATCGACCTGTGGCCGTTGAAAAGTAATGACATCAACCGCCAGCGAAAGGGGGCGGCCATATTCAGAAGGAAGAGTAGCATTGTGGGATTGCCCATTTTCAACATGGCGGCGTCCATGCAGGTTGTGTGGAGTTTAATTCGTTGAAAATTTATTGGCCTATTTGCGTCACTTTCTGTAAGTTTGTTTCTCTTACATGTTCACAGAATAAATATAGCGTAATCGGTATGTAGGCTAGGTAGATACATTCGATTTCCTGCGGCTCATGCCGGTCTAGTCACGATAGTCCACTGCATCATCAGTGCATGCGGGCCACCTGCCCACATGGCACATGTCCCACTGCGCATTCCCACCACGTCCGTGCCCATCCATGATCATGGTACATGTATGCCCACGAACAAGGAGTGCGCTGGAGCGGCTAAACAACAAAAACCAAAATGCTTGGAGTAATAACAATAGTTGAATTCACACATTTATAAAAAGGGGCCTAGGCCTAATTCCCGAAAGTGTTTCATACGTGGACGCCACTTGACATCCCGTGGCCGTACATCTTTAAGCATGTTAAGACCAGTCTTAAAAAGTTAACAATGCTTGGTCTAAGTGTTTTCTAAGTAAATGACTTGTTATTTTATTTTTAAAGCTTTCTCGGGGTGGGGGTTGAATGGTAAATAGATTGAGTACAAAAGTAGGAAAATTACATGTACATGGGCCTATTAGACTTTTTTGTGTACATGTCATGAGTATATATGCATTGGGGCATCAAATCTTTCCTTACAACAAGTTACATTTTGAATCAAACATTCAGACAACACCTGTTAAGTTATAGCTCAGCTCTCAGGGTTGGGAGTCATCATGTTCTAGAGTCACCTTGTTGCCATGATTAATCACACCACGTTTTTATCAGCCGGACTATATACATTACTTGTGGCATTAATGTGCAGTATTTCACCAAGCTGGCAAACACACACACACCCTTACATATGTATACTTGTGGGGTATTTCCTTTGTTCTTGTGTACAAAACTCCCACACAACACGGAAAAAATTTCAAATCACTGCCATTTCAACCAAATTCAGTTTCCTCGGTTGAAATTTCGACCGTATGTCCCTTACATAAAACAGTCCAATTTGCGACAGATGAATGCCACTTGAAAATTCCTCCTTTTTGAGTAAATTTGAAATATCTATTTCATGAAATTCTTGTTGGGTACCACTTTAGTACCCCACAAGGATCAAAATTGGCCTTGTGGGGTACCTTCCATTGAGGAGCACCATGTTTGGCACTCTTCTAATAAATACCCATTTTGTGTTTGGATTTCTAGGATGTGGCATCACAGACACTAAACTCCTGTGGTTGAGAGTTGTAAGCACAGCAACCAGACCACAATGCTGTTAGGAAGAGCAGCTGCTGCGGGTGCATACAAACTTCTCTCACTTTCCCCTGGGAGTGTGTGTTGTGTACAAGTGAACACAAAGGCCATGCTAGCAGGACGTTTGAACCAACCTATGTTGTGGTGCTGGGGTAGGGCATTAGGCAGAGAGAAAGGACAGTGTCTCAGTGTGCGTTTCAGGCAGGTGAGCAATTACTCCAAGACCCATATTGACAAGAACATCCTCATCTATCGCAACGATGGCTTCACTTTCTTCCGTCTGGTGGGCCTCTTCGCTGTCGCCCAGCTAGGCTTCTGGTCCTATCTGACCTACTCGGCGTTCACCTCCATGACCGACTCTAGGAACTTTGAGCTGGTCAAGTACGGACCTGAGGGGGCACCTCCTGAGGAGAAGAACTGGACCTCGCTGTCAGGAATACGGATGAAGCTGCACTCTGGGGTTTGGAGATACGCACTCACCATGCTGTGTTTTGCTGTTGGTTAGTAGGGCCTGCAATTACAGTTGCAACATTACTCAACCAGTAAGGCCGATTGCATATGCCTATTGCTAGTAGGCAACTTCAAGGTGGCATATCGGCCCCATAATCTTGTATTGTGTCTTCCTCAAAGTGCTCCTGGGTATATTAAAAGTGGTATACACCATTGGTTTCTGTCATAATTTCACAAGATTGGCTGATTACGTTGTATAACATTCCCTGCAATTTGTTTCATGTTTGAGTCAACTGCTTTGTGAAAAATCGAAAAAAACAGCAATGATTAAATTGAAGATTTTGTAACTTATCTTGCTTAAAAAATCTATGAATTACAGGGTGTTCATAGTAAGCGAACAACACCCACGGAATCAGGGAGGGAAACAGGTATGACACGTTCTCTTTCACTCAAAAGGGAGCAGTCGGGAGTAATGCGCCTCCTCGACAATATAGCATTGCGGATTCTGATAAACTTCATCCAGAAATGCAGTTGACTCGTGTCTGTGACACTGAAACGAGTGGGTCTACATATATGTGATAATGCATGTGAGCGCACGATTGTGCTTAAGGACCACACTTTTATGTCAGTTTCCATGTCAAAAGTTTAAAAACTCCATTCTTAGTTGACTCACTAATAATAAGCAAACAGGAAAATATGTCTTGAAACACTGCTGTATAGATCAGTGTATTCCTCTGTAAAGATACCATGTTTTTGTGCACATTAATATGAAAATTCAGACTGTAACTTTTTGTGTAGGTCATGCATGTACATTGCAATCTAGTGTTCCTGTCTGGATTCTGTATTGCATTTGTCTAAACCTAAGCTCATTCATTTTGGGGAGCCATGCCAAAAGCCCATGTTAAGTGTGACTACAATATAAAGTTTAATCGTGACCTTGCAAGAATTGATGTATGTACGTTGAGAGTGTCATTGCATCAAGACTGAATAAATAAAAATAGCAATTTAATTACAATTATGTTATAAACAGAGAAAGTAGATTGCATAAATCAAAGTCTTCGAACAGGTTGTTCCACAGACAATTGAAACCTTTTCTCCTTAAGTCAAGAGCAGTGGATTATACAAGATTTTCTGTCTGTCCTCAGGTGGGTTAATCTGCTTCGGGGCATTGACATACTCCAAGAAGTGCATCCATCGCATTGTCCTGCGCAAAGGGGGCGACAGGGTCACCATCAGCACCTTTGGCTTCTTCGGCCAGCCCTGGTCCTTCACCGTGCCCATCGCCAATGTCTCCTGCCGGCACTCCCGGCACGGGGTGCGGACCCAGCTGCCCATAAAGGTCAAAGGGCACAGCTTCTTCTACCTGCTGGACAAGGAGGGCAAGCTGTACAACGCACCCCTCTTCGATCAGACGGTGGGCATGAGGAGAATGCTGCTCTCCTGAGACTGCAGGGCCAGACATGTCGGTTTCAACCGTTCCCATGCAAAGGAAGGTGTACTCTTTGACCTTATGAGGAGAGGGGAAAACCAGTCATTTTTAGTGATGAACATCTGAATGACAATTGATGTATCTGGAAAGCTCATTGGAGGTTGCTTGAGTCTTTAAGTTACAAGGTTAGGGGCTCACAGAATGATGGATACTTGTCACAGGTGTACTTCCAAGTCAGGGAGTAGGGACCTCAACCTGGAGTGCGACGTGACCAAGTCTTGGTAGAGGCAGAAAATCTGACAAATGGGTGTACCAGTACATTGACAGCAAGAATCCACTTTCTGACACACTGATTAAAGTCTTGTACACTTTAAACTGCAAATCATGTGAAAAAGAATGAATTAACTCACTTGTGGCCATTTCAAGAGCCTACTCTGTGCAAACAATTCACAAAACAAATTTCAATAATGCAAAGTTTTTTTTTACATAGAAATAGTCCTGACGACCCTTTTTATTTCATTCACTCAGTTCCATTAAATTATTACAAAAAACTGCTTACCGGTAACTTTGACATGGTTTTGGTTTGTACAACATGCTGAACAGTGACAGTAACATAATAAGTTGTTCATTTTCCTACAGGTTGCTCTGTTAATGAAACCGAGCCCACATACAGTAGTGATCTCTGTTCCAGTTTTTGTACAAAATGTACCGGCTAAACATGAATAATTTAATTGTTAAAATATATAGACACTTAGAGAACAGTTTTGCTGTTGGTATCTTTAAAGTCAAACCAACCGATCTGGGTGACTCAAGATTCTTCAGGGTTACTCTTCATCTATCTTGATTCTAACGCTAAAACTACATGGTGAACTGAATTTGCGAAAAAAATAAAACTAGATTCTGAAAATTTAACTTGCATCGTAATAAGAGTTAAAAACAACGAGTCTTTTACAGCTGTAATATTTCCTGCTTTCAATTATAATTCAAAGACACAGATGTGCCCGCCATGAAGTGTTATTTTCTTTGATAAAAACATCAGGACCCTTTTTTGGGGGCCATTACACCTGCAGTTCACTGGAACTAGGTTTATTCCTGATGATGTGAGTATAGATTCCATAATATGGAGTTGCAGAAAGTGATGTGGTCCTATTTACAGTGTCTGGCATAAAAGAATTTTGGACTGCTGAAATTTCACTTGAAGTTTCGCTATGTAATTTATCATCAATAAAAGTTGTTTTCAAAGATGGAAAAGTTGTTTTGTTTTCTTTGTTTCTTGGTTTAATACACATTAAGCCTCTACTTTTTTACTGAATGATTTAGTCACGGAGTTTGCTTCTTATAACATTTACATTCTAGCTTACCCGAGAGATTTATTTCTCTCTTCCAATAAGTATTCCCTACACTGAATAATGAATCATTATGCCTGTACAACGTGAAATGAAAGCTGATTTAACATTACAGAGAGGGAATTTAAGAGAGCAATGAGTCAATATTCCCTAGTCCACCTTCCTGAGTAATAAATGCTCAGGCTAATGAATATGCAAGACCTTTGTGTGACCCTTGACCTTTCCTCTACTGTGGAAGATGCCCTTGGTGTAGAAGTATAGATTGAGAAATGTACACAATTTATGACTCTTACAAAATCCGAAACAATTATCTGTAAGCCTCAGGAACGCTGCATCATTAAATTTCATTAAAAATAAGGCTGCTGTATTGGTACTTACATAATACCATGCTTTTCAAAAATTAATTGTGCTTAGGTAACAGATGTGCTCTGCTGTCAGTCTTGCACATAAATAAAAATGGCAAATTACTAAAACTGAATTGTAAAAAAATTGTTTACTGTTGGCTCTTAACTTGTTAAATGCAAAATATTCATAAAACAAGTTCAAATGAAACAATTCTGAACAATCCATTTTGTTCACACGGTTTTGAACGATTGGCTGTATATTACACATTCAGAATGGCTCAAGACAAAAAGTTACTGTTTCCAGGCAGAAACTCATATTTTCATGCATGATCTGTCAATCCTTCTTACTTGAGATAAATTTCTGTCCACAGTGACAATGTCACCATGCAGTCGGCCAAAGCCATCGCGTGCACATCTGTTTAGTTTCCTGTTCTGGCTGTGTGATATTGCATTTTAAACACAGAGAAGAAACTGCAGATGGTAGAAATGAAGGCTTGAAATGACTTCTAATACTTGATTTTGTTGCACTTTGCCTACACAGCAAACAGATTGGCACAATGAAAGAACACCACTAATTTTGACCATTCTTGGGCAGAAATGGCATGTGTGACCATTTGGTTGAAAACTGATGCATGAGCAGCATGGAGTTCTCAACATTCGGCAAACTCATCTGATAAATCAGCCCATCAGCCAAAGGCAAAGATGACAGATGTACCAAATGAGCCGGTAACTCCAGGTTGGGGCTGTGTCAGCGTGTTATGGCTGATGGGAAGCCAATGGCTGGCAACTGCGACCACTTACCATAGGCACGTGTTACACTGGGCAACAGCAGACTGATTTGGACACGCCACTGTTCTGCTGACAATGCAATGCTGCCCGGAAAACTAACAGCCTGTGATACAACAGAATGCCAGGTGTGGCAAATTCACTGAGGGACTTGAATTATTTTGAGGTGGACCGGCTACCACTCTGATCAACAGTAGTGTTCCTCACATTGCTAATGCCAAGTTAGTAATGGGGTTACAACACACACAGAGTTAGTAAGAAAAACACTGCCCAGTTCGGTTGTGTGCATCCCTGTAAGCAATTGTTGGGAGACCTTGGGAAGCATCCAACCACTTCTATGCAGTCAGCTCGTGACTGACCCAGGACTACATGCGCAGCGTGGCGAGCATCAACGTTCTCCATCCACACCGCATGCCTCCCAATGCCGACAGTTAATGGTACACACAACCAATCACACAAGCCACAGACCCAACAAGCAGATTTCCCCACAAGATACAAACCAATTCCTTTCTTTTTGCCCCCCCCCAAAAATGCTCTCTGCATATGAGCAGCCATTTTTGTCTGACGAAGACGTGTCAGAGGATCACAGCCGATCACCACGTGTTCTACAGCACATAGTGGTTCAGTGATTAGAAAATGTTGTAATGGCGTAATGAGATGGGTGACTTCAACAACAGGCTGCTGACAGCAGACTCAAAGCTGAATATGGATTTGAGGATCTCGTGGCATTACATATTCTCACTGCTTTTCAAGAATCTCTCTGGCTCATTCAACTGGAAGCCCCACCTCCAGTTTGAAATTTTCCCCACATCAATTGTGATCTGAGTTGCCTCCGAACTCCTCATAATCACCCTTCGCCCTTCTTACTCGGGCAAGGAAATCCCACTTGAACGCTTGAAATGTGATCACCTGTGTCAGCTACCCCCAACAGGGGAGCCAGTCACCGTGGCTGCAGAGTCGCCGGGCACAGCGGAATTGGTCTGTAATAGCACGGCAGGTAGAAGTTATGTGAGCTTCTATCATCACAAACTGCTAACATCTAGAACCCGGCTACGGAGCTAAGACTAGTCAGCAAGGGTTACAGACTAACATCTACGGGCTGCACGGCACACTTATTGCACGGTGATAGGGATGAAAGCTAAACCGGGGGGAAAAAAGTGTTGTCCCTGAAATATGAAACTAGATTTTCCCTTGCTATTTCAATTTGTGCTCAATTCACATTTTGGAACTCCGAGAACATATTTCCAACTGTGAAACAGAACAAGAAGCTCTAATAGTTAAGTGGTTTCATGATATTTAAAAGTACAATATACATTCAATTGTTTAAATTCTTTCTTAAATTAAAAACCAAAAGAAGAAATTTGTTCCTTTACATGTTTGTTCAAGTTGCTTTTGTTCGATCTTTGTTTTAAATTATACAACTAAGACAGAGAGGGTTGCAATAATTGTAAAAGAAGGCATGTCAGACTCAGAAGAGGTAGGAAAGCGAACCTATGCTAACTGTACATAAAAGTGAACTTAAATGAATAAAGATCAACAATTACTTTAAGATTTCTCAACTACCGTACTGTACAATAAATTACATATGCACTGCCCCCACACATTGACAAACATGTCATCTTGGCTTCTTAAAAAGAAAAAAAATCTCTAGAATTGCATGACTGATCATACTTCCAGACATAACATATTTCATTGATGTACACCTTCCAACAACACATCTATCAGATTTATCACAGAGTGACACCACAATGTGATGGCTTTCAAGTCTTGTATGACACTGGTACGTGTATGAGTTGAGGCCAGGAAGAAGGTACAAGTCTAATGTTGGATGACATGGAATCGACACACCAAATACAGGACCCCCCGCGGTCCTGTCCCTTGCCTCTGCCGAACATCCACTGCTGATTGTGCGGCGCCCTCAACCAGCTGTGCGCAGCAATGATAGAAGTATCTGAATCGCCTGAGACTGCTGCCACTTGACTTGAGGATTTGCTTTGAGTGGATGAGAGTAGAGCAGTTGAGTGGTTCGGGATTTTCATTCACATGAGGAATGTGAAAAGCACCAGCCAATTCAAGCGTGCAATTTCTCTGCCTTGCAATTTTAGATCACCTTTTCATTATTTGTTCCCTTCTCTGGTATTTTCCCTCTTCCACAGGATCTTAAAAAAAATTAACTGGCAACTGGCTAAAATGATTGGAAAGAAAAACTGGCATTTTTAAATATACTGTAAAAAAATAATCTACATAATTACCTTAAAAATACACAATCAGTTCTCTTGCTCCGTTTGTTCGTTCAGTAATGACAACCAGTGATGAAACAATCTCATCATACACTTGATTATAAATGAGAACCGAGATCTGAAGCCCTTTGGATTTACAGAGAACGAAATTTTTCTAGCATTGTGTTGAATGGCAAATTCTGCTTTTGACACATTTTATCTGGGAAGGTCCTTAACTAACAATACTGGAGGTCTGGAGAGAAGCTGCATCAAAACTAAAAGCTTACTTGTAACCAATCAACATGGAGGGTTCTCCAGATGATGGATGGACAAAATGGAAGGCCCGCCTTGCAGGAGGAAACAAAAAAATGATTTTTCAAAGCACCGATCTGGAGCAACTTTGGCTGGAGTACATTATGTTACTGATGCAGTTCAGAAATCAGGAAAACTCTAATCAGGCCTCCTTTACAGCTACTCCCACCTTCTTCTTTTTTTTTTACAAACATCTAAATGAAATTCTGGAAGATCACACGAGCGATTGGCTACTCAACCACTGGGGAAAAAAAAATGGCAGGTTAGTGTGTAATACTCTCGTTTCTGTTGATTACTTTCTTCTCTGTTTGTACATTTGTATTCTGGAAGAGCTTCATTCCGTTGTTGCAAGAGTTCGGAAAAAATCGGCTGCGCGATTCTGAAAACTCTGCAGAGGCTCCTTGTGAGAGTCTCAATCTAAGGCTACGTGTACGTGTTTTACATCTACAGTGTTTATACCAACGTCCCTCTCTTAATTAGCACCTTAGTCTACCTGGATAGAAATCACCTGGGATTGGAGAGGGCGGGTCTCACCCGAGTTGACTGACACAAACGATTGTGCTGACTACCCCGATGGGGTTGGTGGAAAGAGCAAGCTGAAAGTCACTGGTTTCTGCTCGTGAAAAACACTGACGCTGAAGGTGGTCTGAACCACTGCTTCACATGCACACTTGAAAATTGACTTTCAGGCCCAGCCAGGGTTTCAGAGCTGCACTCCTTGCATTCAAGCTTCAGGCAAGAACGTAGTCGAGGAGCAACAAAGACATCTGTTTCGCGTAGAGGAATGACAGACATGCGATCGTGCATCCAATCTGTCTCCAAGTTCGTGTCAGCAACAGGGGTGCTAAACCTGATGATCCCGCACTTGGCCAGCACATCCACTTCCCTGTACCTGAACTCCAAATATTTCAAATCAGAGATCAATGTGCGACCAGAACTAAGACGACACAGACTTCAAAATTACGATAATACAGCGAACAACTCTTCAACTACACATATACATTTTGTTCTACATAGTCATATTTACGTGTTTACCGTAATGCTGGACCAATAAAAAATGTACAGGGCAAAAAATATGGAAGCACTGGAATCTTGTACATTATTTAATGTCTTTGACCAGAGGAGACAAAAGAGTACCAGTTCATACAGGATAAATATTCCTGTAAAAATCACCTGTTCTACTATTCACTTGACCAATGCACAATAACATCAACATGTTGTAAAAAACCTTAACCAGCTGTGTAATGAATCCATTTTCAGCAAGTTTGTTTTTTTCACAATACGACGGCCCCTGCCTGTAAGTTTGTTCTGTTTGATTGTGTTCCATATGGCAAGAAGTCTTTACAAGTGTGCGCACCCCTGTTTTTTTTCTTCTTCCAACAATACTTGGATTGCTGATGTACTCTCCTGACCGTTGCCGAGTGTCCCTTTTTGCAAAGTGCACATGGTTTCCAAACTCTGCTATCCTCAACAGCAGTTGTGGGAGTCATGATTTCAATACCTTAAGGACGAATTACAAAGACACGCTGGAACAATGTATCTTTTCCCTTCTTTTTTTTTTTTAACTTTACAGGAAGAATTATAATGGCAAGTTTGGCAAGATGTTCAAAGATTACACAAAATAGATTTACTGTCACTGACATTTTTCCTGGAAAACTTTTCAAACTGGAAAACTTCTTGCTAGAGGTCATCATTTGAGGAATCCCACAAATGCTATTGGAATGAAAACATGAGCACACTGTCGTTAACCGGGAGACTGCTTTCTCAAATGGCAGGCCAGACGAAAAAGAAAAACAAGTCTTCTCAGAGCAGGTGCTGCCTACAACAAACCAAACACTGTGCCATTTGGAATGGAAACAAACTATGATGCTGGCAGCAGACGTATTTTCCTCAACCCCACTTTCCATCTTAAACGCATGATCATCACAATCAATGTGAACATGACCAGCAACATTCATTCACAGCATCTACAACTGTGGTGTAACTACGGGGGAGGGGTGTTCCTCCCCTCCATCTGAAATTTTGCAATGTACACCACCTATGTACAAGCCGCAGGAAATTGACTTTCGATTCCCCCAGATAAAATGTTGTGCACCCAACGCGTGCTCCTCGGGAAATTTTTTAGCATAGTTACACCACCAATCAAAAAGCACCCCTTTCTGCAATCAAAGGAGCTGCATGATTAAATACTTGTTAAAAACAAACCGCTATGGTTGTTCAAAAAAAAAGAAAAAGAGAGTGAGGAAAAAAGTAGGAAACAATTCTTCAAGACTCTTAAATATGGAAGTCAGGGGAACTACCCAGGCAGTGGGAGAGAGAAAAGCCTAGCTCCCATCATGTGGCCGTCAGATCAGATTGAGGACTGATTGAGCGTATGGGGACCTCGCTGGTCTTGATGCCAGCCAGGTTGAGCAGGGCGTCGGCGCCTGCTGCCAGGTCGTTATCCACGTCCGAGCGGCGCGGCCGCTTCTTAAAGGGTAGCGGCAGGGGCTTCTTGCTGCTGCTGCTGCTCTTCTCATCCTCCAGGTCATCAAAGCTGGCATCGTGGATGTACCCGCTGTCCCCAAGCCGCTTGGACTCCTCATCTTGCTCCATGTCCGAGTCCGAGGACACCAAGTCCTCGAAGTCGCTCATGTCACATTCCACAGGGTCATCCTCCTCTTCCTCGTCCTCCTCATCGTCCCCAGCCAGCTGTTGGGCCCGGTCCCGCTGGGCCTTCAGGATGGCGCTCAGGCTGTAGGTGTGGTCGTCTGACATTGAAGGAGCCGGGGTACACTTCGTCTGGAGGGCCGCCTTGTTAAATGGCGTGGATGCCAGCCTGTCATGAAAAACAAGGGTGTCATATGCTTATAAACCATACCCCTCCCACATCCTTAAGACTTCCTTACTAATCTTTAATCAACCATGGCTCTGCCAGATCGTCTCATGTCCGTAAAAAGGTTTTAGAAGATTCTGCATGACGTGATCAATGATCCACCAATCAGATGACGAGTATTTATGCAAGTATTGTATAACGGGACATAAATAACCACCCTTCACGGAGCAATGTCTGTCCTTTTTCTGGGGGGGTTGAGATTAAGGATTTCATCACCAACCTTGGTCTGGGGAGGCTCTGATCATTCAAGGCAGTCTCAGCCAGGTCTGAGAGAGTGGGCCTGCTGTGAGGCTGGCGCGGCTTGGCCTGTAGGGGGGCCACGCCCCCGACCGGGATGCTGTCACGGCGCACGCCTTGGTGAGGAGAGAAGGACTTCAAACGCTCATCTGGAAGGTCAGTAAAGATTTGTTTTGTTCAAAATGTAGATGATCGCAAAGTGTGCTTTCCCTGTATTGTTCCAGAAATTTAGATGTGAATCATCAAAAAGCTCTGCAAGCAGCACATCTGATAAATACTTGTAGCCCTAAGCAACAAAAGCTAATGCCTCTCTTAAGTTTAGTTCGTCTTTTAAGGTGCTGTCCCTTCAGTATGTTGATGTTTGTGGACAGTGAAAAACGGTACCTGATGATAATCAAAAGCCATCCGAAACCACACGCATAGGGCACACCCAAACAGTTTCAAATGAAAACGGGCCAAGGTTGAAGCATGACTGCCTGTGAAGCTTTGTTATGCAAGGTTCTAAAACAATGATATGCAGTGTACATGCTACACATTATCCAGCAGGTTTGGTTACAAATTCATAAGGTTTTAGAGTAGCCGTTTTATTGATATTCTCTTCTTTTTTTTTTGTTTTTATGAAGTGCGATTTAACGCATGGCATGGGACTCCATCATTTTATGGGGCCCAAGCAAATCACATTTTTCCATGAAAGTCACCCTAAGGATTACGGATGAACATTGCAATCTCTGACCTACCCTTATATTAAGTAACCTATGGACACCGTGGTTAACATGCCTTGGTTCAGAAACCTTTTGCAATCTCAGTCTGACCCTTCATGATTGAGAACAGACAAACTGTAGGCCTACTTGAAAAGTTCAATCTGAACGATCTGCTTACTCTCAAACCAAGAAACGCCAGCCTAAAAATTTATGTTAATTTTCTGTTCACAGAAGAGAGTGTTCCATGCTAGCAAGACATATCCAAAAGACTGTCCGCATTTCAGTGCAGCAAGGAAGCTAACACACTGTTGTGGAGATGCTCTCCTGTGAGGGCGCCACACAAGGTAACCTATTTCAGCCTGGACGGGAGCAGGATGCCAACTGGCCAACAGAGGGGGCTGCTCCACCGGGCTGCTACCATTCATAAAATGAGTCAAGCATTTCCTTATATGGCCATAAAATTGGCCGCAGCCAGAGACCCTCCCAGGCAATTAATCGAGTCAGCCCCGAGGGTAGAACTGGGATGAAGGGGGAGAGGGCTGGTAGAAGGGGATGGGCAGATGGAGGGGAGGGAGGTCAAAAGGGCACTTGGGTGAGAGACAGGAAGACAATACAGTACATAAAGGGGAGGAGGAAAGGAAGCAAGAGAGGAAGACACAGCGGGACAGAACATCTGAGAGTGATGAGGAAAGGGACGTGGGAACATGTTTCGATGGAATGTGGCTTCAATCTGTGGGATGTATGGCACCAACTCTGACTGATCTGCAAACCAGTTTGCAATGGGAGGAAACATGACGTCTGGAGTGGAAGGGGATGCACCCCAGTTGAAGACATGAACCATTCAGCTGCATCTACGTCAAACAAAAATGCTGGTCCCATGGGGTGGAATGAGAGAAGTCACACAAAGGTGAAATTGGAGCATAGAGGGCAGGGCCAGGAACAAATCTTTCTTGAGGGGAAGTAGTGTGGAACGAAATGAACCAAGTTTAGACAGAAGTAAAATCCATTCCATAAATAGTAACTGGATGTCAAGCATTACCAAAAAATGTCAGAAAACAAAGTTTGAAAACTGTATACGAGATACCAAGAAAGATATTGGAAAATGAATTGGTGCGTGTGCATCTAAGCTGTGATTTTACGGAGTAAAAGAAAGCCACACTGATGTGAAGGACAGATGGAGACATAATTACACTCACGTTCTTCAACTCGTTGCTCCGGGGGCGTTCTAAACATCATCATAGTGGCTGCCGCATCCACCTCCCGCTCTGCAATCAGGACAAGACACACAAGCGACAGAGAGAGAGAGAGAGAGAAAAAAAAAACAGTTAAGAACCTGCCGTTCATCAATCCACATACATCTCAACTTCACATCTCTACAACAATCACCAGTAAGGGAAACTGCGAGCCTATATAAATGAGACGCTTATTGATTCAGGGCATGTTTAGCAAGAAACCCATCAGTGAGTTTTTTTTTCCCCCTGCTGCGTCTTTCACAATAAAAACTCCTCGCGGCGTTATGAAGGCGCAAACAAATTAATCACGGCCAGGTGTATATATTAAAAGGCTAATGCACCAGATTGACTCTCTCTGTGCAGTAGATAGTCCCCCATGTCCCCCCCCCAGCCTCGTCGAGCAAGGGAAAACATCGAGCACCAAGAAAACAGTTGCAGGAGATCTGGCGCAGGGGGACGAAGAGTTGAACAAATATTAAAAATATGACAAGGGAAAAAACCCTGTCTTTGGGGTTCTGGCAGAGACAGGGCAGGAAACATTCCGACAAGCAGTGAGTGCTTTATGACCCTCAAATAAGGTTCCGCAAATGACAGATGAGACACTTAATCAGTGGGATCTTGGACCATGCAGGAAGCCTCGCTTTTATGAATCAGTCAAATCAGACTCAGGCAAACAAATACTCGCATGTCTCCAGTTCTGTACTTAGACATGCTTAATACTGCGTGCCAATCAGTCAACTTGGTACTGAGTGAACACCATGCTTCCTGTTCAAGTGTTTGCCCCTGGCATAGGCACACGCTCTGCTCTGTTTGTCATTACAGATGCAGAAACAGGTTTCTCTGGGGGGTTTTCTTTGATTTGAGTCAAAGACATGGAACTCATTGTGTAGAAAAAAAAAGTCACTGGCAGCTGATGTTAGCAACACTGCAACTGCCACGTCAAAAGAAAACAACAGTTCAATTTCTTTTTGACTGGGTTGGGGAAAAGTCTATGGCATGCTTTCACTGTACTCGGCACCACCGTTGCCTCAGAAAGTCTAACCTGCAGTCAAGAGCATGTAGCCTCTGCATTATTGCTCAGTGGGTTCTGCAAATATCTCCTGGCCAATTCCACCTTAGCAGCTGACACAACAGTTCGGACAGGGCATTGGTAAAAACAGTTACCCCAAGTTACCAAAGATCCAAACGTACTGTATACAGGTGAACGTGAGTGAATATGTATTTGGGTGTGAGACTTCATAGGGCAAAATCATATGTTATTCTCGAGGGGGGAAATGTGCCGCTCATTATTTTGTGACGATTTGAACAAGAAGATTCCCAGTCCCCATCGCCAACCATTCTGTTTGCAATTAAAGCCCTTGTGATGCCTGTACTGTGTGCTCAAGTGAAGAAAAATGCAATAATATGATAAACAAATTAAAAGAGAAGAAAAAAAAAAACCGAATGCAGCCAGTTTTGATTAACATCCTCACTTGCGTCTAGTTATTATCCAGCCAACCGTGACAAGCCATCTGTCACGACTTTGGCCCTATGAGCCGACTGGCGCATTTTGCAATTTATCCCCCTGCGTTGCCATGCCAACTAATTTGTTTCTGGCTGGGCGCCCAGCTGAGCTGGAGCGCCTGGCCCCAAGTTGAGCTGTGAAGCTAATCAGACTGTCCACCTACCCCGCACATGGCAATGTTTACAGAGGACGGTCCCAGGTGTATATAATCCCCCTTTGCTTAAGTCAGGAGTTCCCTAAAAATACCTTAAGTCTCACTATAAACCCCCCCTCCCCTACCTTCTCTCCCTATCCTCCCCCCCTCCCACGTATTTGCCGCGGTCGTGGCCGTGTAGTGTCGCTGATGAGACATGCATCATTCATGGACTGACGCCATTGCAATCACACCTTCAGCCAATACGGCTGGCACTCCAACAGACAGAGAGAGAGTAGATGAGAAATGAGCACAAGAGGTGCTGGAACCACCTTTTGGCTCCGGCCAAGATTAGAATGTACCGACGGTATAAATTATTCCGAGGGTGTTATCACGGATCCTTGGGTAAGGGATCCAGCAGTGGTGTCATCATCATCAACATCCTCCAGCGTTAACTGCGGAAGTGCCATCCAAGGAGACAGCCACTGATGCAAGGCATCACTCAAACCCTATTGGACTGCCACCGTGTGTGGGGCAACATATGTCCGTCCCAAACAATCCAAAAGACCCTAATCGAGCCACTTTGACAAAGTATCCCATGCATTTTACCGGTGCAAAGTGCCTTTGTTTCTGAAGCAATTTTTCACTGCATTTTTCAAGCACCGCTGGCCATCCCAGACTGACTTGTGATCAAGAAAACAAAGCAGGGACTTGTGCAAACTAGACTACATGTACATGTATACACGAGTAGGCCCTGTATACTACATGCCAAAGGTAAAATCCCCTATTGCAGGGACCAGCAAAACTTTTTTCCCGGGGCAATGGACGGATGTGGACTTATCGGAGAAGACTGCACCACACCCATGCACGTGTTACTGGACTTGAGGTGTGAGAGCAATATTAGGCAAATCACAAGACCCTATCGGTGGAAGAAGCATTTATGGCATTTTTAGCCGTTACTACTGGTGTACAGGCATGATGCCAATTGCGTACTAATGGCTTCTAATTCTGGCCGATGGACCAGTCCGTCCCTGAATGTTTTTCTTCTCAAAAATATCAGCGCTGAAAAAAAAAAAATTCACCACAGGGGATTCCCAATGTAAGGGTAAAATTAAGTAACGGTTGAATTTATAAAGTCAACGCTTGGTGTCAACAAAAAAACAATGGATGTGACAACAGTGAGAGGGGATAACAGGCACTTTGACGAATGGCCAGCACAACAACAGCTCTCCTGGCAACGCTTGTGGCAGTATAGAAAGAAGGCCTGCACAATACATAACCTCTTCTTTACAATAAACAGGTAATTTTCTAATGGAAGCAAGTGAGAAATTCCATGGGCCTATTGCACATGGCCTGAGGGGAGCATATCCACAGCACCAGGACGACTACAAGAACAATTCAGCAAAGAAACACCCACTGTGACCTTTTTGCTGACCCTGGCGAGAGCCTGGTTAACCACGTTTGGACAGTGTCATTTTTTTGCCAGGGGAAAAGGCGGCAGGGATGTAAGCGTTTAACTCACTATCCAGACTTTTTGAAACCATTGCATCATTCTCTAAAAACCAGACAGCAGTTCTAAAGGACCCAAACATTTCAACAAACATCAGCCTATCTTTGCCAGGCCGGTCCTTCTTCTGAGGGCGGAGATTGTGTATGAAACAAAGCCTTCAAGACAAGTTAAAATTACCCTGTTCAGAAACCGGTACCAGATAACATGGGCTTCCAGACCAATCAAACCCACCTGCAAACTATCTTGCAACTTGCTGTGGCCTCACTACCCTTGCCCTCTGACCTTGCCTTAATCTTTGGCCATCACAGGTTGAGGGTTGAGTGGCACAGTATGATTGGCCAGAAAAAAAAAAAAACATCATCCTGGCTACATCCAGTGCAGAATCTTTGAGACTGCCAGCCTGGTGCTCTGCATGCTCTGCAGTCATGTACATGTAATTCCAAGGCCACTGTTGTGTATGACTAAAATCTGTAACCATACAACTCATTCACCACTATGCCATACCATACAATTACAAGTACATGCGCTCATGGAGTGTGGGTTTACATAACCTTCATGGGGAGTTTACAAGAAGGGCCTACTGTCTGTTTTGCACCACCCCTACGAAGGACACATATGTTGAGAAACAAAACCCCTCCAATATTGGTTATACAAGGATTGTACAGGACCACAAATTGTCCTGTGGACACAATTATTAGTTATGGGTGGACGTGACTGCACGTTCAAAATTGCACGTGCCCGTGCCCAGCATGGGTACTGTTGAGAAGCTGTTGAGTTTGGCAATTTTTTTCCCCCAAGAACTCTCACCACACTGGAGGGCTTACCATCTCTCTGTGTTTCTCTTTCTCTCTCTTGGGTTGATACAAAGAGCAATTTAATGATTCCTTTCCAAGTTCTGACGAGCAGTATTTCTCTGGGGGTCAGGCCAAACCAAAAGCCACCCTAATAAACATCAGATATGAAACACCAATAATATACTTTGTGGCAAAAGGATTTTCAATATATCACTGCTCTATGGGTGGTTCACAGCGAGGGTGTAATGATTTGTGTGGTTGGGTGTGTGGGGGGGTGATCAAGCTAGGGCGCCAACTCCAGGGGGAGGATCTTTCCATTCCTGAAATAAAAAGAGGCACATTTTTGAAGGACCTGTTTTTGGTGATTTACAAGAGGGTCCCCAGACCAGAACCCCTTTAAGGCACCCACCCAAGCCGCCCCTTGACAGCAAATTGATGGGTAGCCATTTACCCCAAATGTCTGTTGTCCAGGGACAAGAGCATTAACCTCTGCTGATCCTGCTGCTGAGTGTGCTGAACTGACCCCTTGGCTCCTTTCAGTAGCTACAAGAGACAGCAGTCCTGGCCTTAAAACCCTTCACGCCAGGAGGAAAAAACAACACCCTCCCCTCAACAAAAAAATCTCTGTCAAGCCCCTCTAACGGGACTGAATCCTCCAGCATTTCACAATTCAGTTGGGAAAGTCCAAGTGAAGTAGGCCGTGGGGACTTCTGTAAAAAGGAGGCCAAGGGCTGCATCATTTTATATGAATCATCCCAACACAAACATGGTTCTCCTTCCCTGGGCCTTCGCCCCTTTTAAGGCAACATCAATGTTAATTCCCATCCAGAATGTTTTCGGTAAAATTCCTTGTGCAACCTTTCCACTTTACAGTATGGCGGCTCTTGTTTGCTGGGGCGGGATACAAAGGCTGCACAGACTATTCCCAGGCAGAAAAAGGCACATTACCTTATGTAGGCCTGTGTCAATTTTTGAAGACAAATGTGAAGAGGTTAAAAACAAAAATTCAAACTCATACTGGTACTGCGACAGAGAAGACTACACATGAGTTGAACGATAGACATTGAGGGACATGTTTGCCATAGAAACAAGCTGTCTCACAAAAGAAATTGTCCCCACAATATAGAGGCCAGCAAGGGCGCATACATACATGTATATGTACGCACACATCAAAAACAGTGATGCACAGAATTTGGCTGAGGGGAGAGAGAGGAAAAAAATGGTTCGTATATTCTATGCAAATTACACAAATTATTGATCACAGGTTGGGTAGATGTTAGATGAGCTCACTTCCTCCCCCACAATTGCACTCCTCCAGGCCAAAAAAAACCCATCTCTGAGCACCACAGAAAATAAATTCCTTTATTGCCACTTCCCACAAGAAGCTGAATTTGGACAGTGCCCCCCCAACAAACTGCACATTGTCACTCGTCGGCTATTGAAAGTGGATGCCCAACAGGGAAAGCAGTGAGGCCACTGGCCTCTGCACTGGATGGACCACCTGATGAAATGAAGGCGATCTTTGGCAGTGCTTAATGTAAGGTTGGCTGATGCGTGCCCATGAACATGTGCATTTATCTTACTGAACGCTGCAAGGCCAAAGCAGGGGCAATGCCCGTGATCAAGACCTTGAAAGGACTGTGTGGGAGGAACAAAAATAAGACAGGGAGAGAGCTTAAAGATGCCATCACAGGGGATCAGAACTTGGGGAATTTCCTGTTGGACAATACATACAAGGTCAAGGGTCACAGCGATGCAAAGCAGATGTCGCTGGAGGAGGTTTACGTACAGAAAGCAATATCCAGCTGAGAGCAGGTAACAAGTAATGTACACTGCCTTATTTTGGGGATATTATCTGTTTTGATAAGCAAATTATGTCTTCTTCTCAGCAGCTCTTAGCTCAACTTGCACCCGAAGTTATTAAGACTTCTCAAACTCTGCACTTTCCAAGCTTAGGTCAGGCATGTTGGCACCACCGCAGCAATTACACCAGAGATCCTTGATTATTCAAGTCTTCGTGGTCAGGGTGAGATACAATCAAATGTGCCGGGGCCCCAAGTCCCATCGCTCTATGCAAACGGTCAGCACTCTCGAGTTTCACCAGGAACACTCACCAGTGTCGAGTCCATTGTGCGGCACGGGCGAGTAGTGAAGCGGTCCATTCAGTAACCTTTCGACCAGCGCAAAGTGACCTGCAGAAAGGGAGAAGAGGAGAGCACTAGTCAGGGAGGTTGCGAAGAATGCAAAGACAAGGATCGCTGTCAGGCCATCACTGACATCTCACAGTTTCTCAACACTGCACGTACATGTACGGTAGCTGGGGAGAGAACTACGCTCACAAACAGATTTTCCATGAGAAAGTTTAAATGTGAAATACATGCTTTCCATCAAATTAAAAGACTTTAAATGGTTAAAAATGGCCTGGAAACCTACATGTACCTCAAGAAATTTCAAAATAATACCCTTTAAAGTTTTAAAGGGCAACTCCTTTATTTAACAATATTTCTGCACAGTGACAATGAGGTTGAGTATCTTCATAATACCAATCACCCATGCTAAGACAAAAATAAGAGTGGGAAAATAATAGAAAAACATTTCCTTTCCCCATTTGGGGAATAAGTCTTATGAAATTGAAAATAATATGCCTATACATATACATTAAACATTAAACATCCTTCCCCGTTGGAGACTTTAGGACCATTACAGGGTTTCAAACATGAACCGGTATACTTAACCTAAATTCTATTCCACAACCACCGGCAGCAAACGGATGTCAGCTGAAATTCCTTATCAATGTATAACTAATGTGAGTCAGTAGCCGAACCGCAGAAACATGTCTAAAGGCCCTTTCACACAAGCTCTGGAAACAAACATCTATGACTGGTTGGTGCTGGGAGTCTGACACAAAGGATGGCTGGGATTTCATCACAGGCTATCACAAAGTGCAACACATCACATTAGTGAACGTTCCTTGTTTTGAGTGAATTTCACTGGTACTGCAATACACTTTGAACGGTGAAATCATAGGGTATCATCCACTTCCCATCCAACATGGTTTTTTATGCAAGTTTTCACGACCATTTGTGCACAAATTTGGGGATGACTGGACATTATTCACCTCTTGGAGGATACCCAAGCTACAAACCTCTGTCTTTTTGGAGTTTACAGGACCGTTTCATGACTGTCCTTAGCATTCTTCTTTTATCTGACTCAGACGCTGGTTAGTGATGGCCTCATTGCCTTTAAAGATATCATAACATTACTTAGTGGCACTTTATTAACATTAAGGGTTCTCTTTTGCAATTGAGTATACCAATTGCTCAATAGGGTAGGCACAAGACTTTTAAACGTGAAATGTCGAGTTTGAACCCTGGAAATACCGTGAAGAATATATTCATCTTCGGATTTGTGGCTCTGAAGGAAGTTGTCAAAGGAAAATTCCAAATTCTGTACTGCGGAATATTTCATCTTTTTCTTTTTTTCCTTCAGAGGGAATTTTTGTGTGAAGGAAAGTAAGCCCCCACACTTTATTATATTTTCCTGAGCAACCATGTTGCATGATGGCTACAGCAATAAATGCACATGCGTGGGCATCAACACGCAGTACATTTGTACCTTCACAAAAGGCACACGCTCTCCATGCACACGACTACTTCTGATGATTGTTTGCATGGATTTTGCATCGATGCAGAAGTTTGGATGGGACCAGTGTGATCATGTTTTGGTGAAAGGGACGCACAGGTTTTCACATGATTTCCCTGCGTTGGTGACCCCGATGCAATTTCAACGTTTACAGCGCTTGTGTGAAAGGACCTTAAGACTAAGCATACAGAACTGGTATTTCGCACATGTGGGAACCTTGAGGATGATGATTCGCCCTGTTTAGGGCAAATCCCCCAGCTGTTTCTCAACCAGTTTGGCCTCCATTTCTTCACTTCCATTCCAAACCGCTCCCCTTGCAATCAAAATCCACTCTATGTAGCTAAGTGTGTAGGCTTATTTGTTTCCTGTGCCATCTTTATCAATAATCGCTATCTTGCTCGGAGGCACACGGACAAAGGCACACAACGTACATGTTTGCCCCTGACCAGCACAGACAATTAACCCAGAAATACTCATGTAAAGTCCATTTATCTCAAAGAATCATCAACAGGCACTTCTTTCTCTCCATTGAGGGGATACTAAAACTCCGGTCAGGTAAAGATTGAAATCATTAAAAAAAAAAAAAAAAACAGAGGCAATAGCAGGTTGCTAGAAGAGGAAGGGTAGCAGAGCTCTGCTCATTTTAGTGGACGATTGGAAAACAGGGCCTCACAGATACTCCAACAAAAAGTGGAAGCAAAGTACAAGAACTGCCATGATATAGACCAGGGACGGGACATCCAGGCGAGATCTGGGTAATTGGGGGAGCCACTGAGACACCAGAGTGGAACTGAACACAATGAAGAGAGAGAGGCTCTCTCAGGAGTGAGCTAGCAACAGTTATTGCAGGGGAGGCACTGTGGCCTTTTGTATGCACCCATGCCGAGACAGAGAGATGCCCACGTACTGTACTCAAGTGGAGACCAGGCACGCGTGCCTCTCTGTATGTGCTGTGCATGTAGAATGACTGATGGGCAGTCTCAACTGTCATACATGTACAACAAACTATGTGGGTGGCTGCCTGTAAGGACTTGCATTTCGCTGCAAGAATGGAGCAAGGATGAGCATGATCTAAGATTGTGTTTAAGGAACGATGACTATGTCAACACAACCCCTTAAGCTTGATGACGTGCTTCTGAAGCTATCAAATGCTCCACAAGGAGAAGCAGCAAAAAGAAAAATCTAACATCTCGTAGTACATGTATCAAAAAGTAAAATGAATTGCTTGTGAAACATATCAGTCCGTTTCAAACCACATTCTGGCCAATTTGTTTTCCGTATTTCCAGCATTTACAGATTTTTAATCAAGGTCAGCTCCAACAAAAATTATATAAATAAAAAAGGAGGCATGACATGAACCAAAACACATGCTCTGTATGGCTTGAAGTACTGCATATATTGGGATATCCTAATTAATCATTTTTCCAGTATACCTGGTGCATCTTATACACAGTGTGCCAAGAAGATTGAAACCCATTTTATGACGAGTCCAGAGTTTTTTTCCCCTCAAAGTAATCCGATAGCTCTTCTGTTGGGTGTAACTTAAACGTCATTTGTCACTGGCTGATAGGCACACTGGGGCCCATTCTTATGTTACAAAATTTGCCTTTGAAGCAGCCCACGCTCAACTTCAAGGCAATGCCCCAGGTTTTGTCCACCTCACTAAAACTGATTTCATTTCAAGACTGCTGTCTTCGAAGTGAAATCCATCTCATTCTCATAAATGGATTGGAAATCTTCTTGAAGAGCTTGATAACCCAATGGTGTGTTAATCAAGTATGTACACCAAGAAGTGGAAGATGTTATTTTTCGGCTTTCATTTTTTGGTGGCAAACCGTGCGCAACCTGTAATATAAACAATGTAAAATGTCAAGCTCAAGTACCTGCATGTTGCAAACAGTGTAAAAGTGTTCAATGGAGAACTGCCTAAGCACATGTTTACATTACATTGAGGATGCCTGAAGCTTGAAGATCAGGAAAGAAGTTAGGGCCACACGCACTGATAGTGGTGAGCTGCCCAAGTACGCCTCAGGATGGCCACACCACTAATGACTCTGGGCATTGTATTGTTGCCAAGCAAAGATGGTTTACTGCATTGCCATGGTTACTAAGAGACTGCACACTCCCTCTGTCCATGCCTGCATCACCCTGTGCATGCATTACACAAACACCAGCTGGACATGGAGGCAGGTTCTTGTTGGCCGCTCTGCTCAGCTGTCGGATGACACAGCTGAGCAATGTGCTTTCAGAAGCAAGCAGGCCTGAGTCTAGTGAAAGGAAGAGCAAAGGAACAGTTTGACCTTTGCAAGAAAGATTCCATCAGGACTTAGCCCCTGGGACTTGCTGATCATTTCACTTTTTTCCCACAACAATACAAGGTTCCTCCTTTTTGCAGGTTCAGTTTTCCCTTTAATCTATTCACGACAAGTTCACTGCACACAAACAGCAGCAGGGCCTCTTCAGGGTATGGTGAGGCTGAAAACAGACCACAGAGCAAGGATTCTATGGTTAGAATGGCAGCCACACCTCGACAGCAGACTATGCATGAAATTGAAGATTTACCCTACAGCAAAATGCCTTCCTTGCTGTTTTGCATCTATGTGCACGCCGAATCTACATGTACCTATGCTGTGCGTAGCCCATCAACTGTTAACCACTTCAATAGCAACAGCCAGACGTGAAAATAAATGCAGGACTAGTCTGTTTTCATTTTAAGTCTCTGGTCATGTGCTTCATAAAGGGCACTGTCTTTATTATCAGTTATCAGCACAGCTCCTGAGAATTCTTAGAAGGTGTGCAAATTTGAAATTAGAAAATATTTCACACAGGCCAACATGCAGAGTGAATCCATTTACGGAGCAAACATGTAACATGCACCTCAAATACCAACTGTCAATACCGCAAAGCACAGTCTTTGATAGTCCGTTTGCTACATGAAATGTAAAATCCATCACCCAAATCTGAGTTCATCTGTTGACACTGCCAGCCTTAACAAGACATCTTCTCCCTCAGCGGGCATCTAGGAAGAGATAATTTGCAGGACAAATAAAAAGGCTCTCTAAGCCACCAGACCGGGCCGAGACAATGGGGGAAGGACGGCCAGGCCCCTCTGTTCAATTTCACTAATTGTGTCATCTGGTTGCGTGGTCAGCGGTCCTGATGGATTAGTCTGCTCATAACAAGATTTTCATTATTGTCTTTATTGGCCTCCCTGCTGGCCAATCGAATCGGCAAATGCCATGCCGGGGATTGATGAGATCGGATCTTCTTCAGCCCATCTGACGAATAAGAAAAAACCCGACAGTCTACTAGAACAGTGACAAATTCATTTTAGTCCTGTTTGATTTAAGGCTCGTGTCCGAATCTGTGCACACACTAGACTAGACAGACAGACACGGAGCAACTCAGCAAGAGATGTAGGGCAAACTTGACAGTTGCTTTGTTTTCACTCAAAACAAACGGAGACAAATTGAAACAAATACATGTACATGAACCCAAGACCAAATGCACTACTTTGAAGGATATGAAACAAACACGTGATTAAAAAAGA